AGGATTATAAACATGCACCTCCATGCACAACGTGGGGGGTTGTAAATTTAAAATCAGATAGGCTGGGGATTTAGCTCAGCAGTTCGGTGGCCTGCCTTGCAAGCGCAAGGACCCAAGTTCAATCCCTGGTACAAAAAAAAAAAAAAAAAAATTTAAAATCAGATAGTCCTAAATTCTTAGTTTAACTCATATACCGTGATGTTCTATTTAGACATCCTGTAAGTTTTGTATGAAAATAACAACCATAACTTATTCTCTGATTAATGTTCAGTTAGCCCATGGGCTTGGCTTATTAAATTTGCTTGAACATTCTTCATACCATTTACAAATTTAGTTAATTAAATTCTCTTAAATATTTAAACTACATCTACAAATTTATCATACTTGATTTTTTACCCCCCAAGCACTTCAAATTCCTCATAGGGCATATTTACACGTCAAACAAGAAAAAAGTGTTACACATGTAAATAATTCCCGTAACCTAATAATTCAAACCTTTAAGTGTGGCAAATCAAATTATTTTAGAGATTCCAATATTGTGTGCAAACATAATCAAAGTCTCTCCCTGGGTGTTGTGATATCTACTTTTGTCCTAGCCACTTGGCAGTTGGATTACAAATTTGAGGCCAGCCTGGGAAATCTGCCAAGACACAAGACTGACGTTCTTCTTTTTCTCCCCATGGCCTTTACACTGAGCTACAGCCCTGGCCCTTTTATTTTAAGCCCAGGTGGCTCTCAAGTTTACAATCCTCCTGCTTTAGCCTCCCAAGTCCTTCGATTAGAGGTGTGTGTGTGTCACTGCACTCAGCAGATGGCTCAGAAATTTAAAAAGAAAAAAAATTTTTTTTTAAAGTGTTGGAGAAGGCTAGGTGTGGTGGGACCCACCTGTAATCTCAGCATTTGGGAGGCTGAGGCAGGAGGATCACCATGAGTTCGAGGCCAGCCTGAACTGCATAGCAACACCCTGTCTCAAAAAAAGGGCTTGCTGGGTGAGGTGGTGCAAACATGTCATTTTAGCAGTCTGGAGGCTGAGGCAGGAGGCCTGGGTGCTTGAGGGCTTGGGTTTGATCCCCAGCACTGCAAAATCAAAAGGACTGGGATCCCGCACAGACAGTGTATCTAAAAGTGCACCTTGTTTAGTGTAACCGCCTTGTGTGTTTTATGTATTTCAGTTCTGTTAGTCTGGTTAATTATATGATAATTAACTTTATAAGGTAAATAATAAGACAAACAAATCCAATATTAGAAAAATAAAAGGGGGGGTGGAGGGAAGGGAAAAAAAGAACCGAGATGTTTTATGTACACATGCCAGTTCCCTACAGTGAATGGAATAGTATGTACTGCAAGCATGGACTAATAAAAATGAAAGATTAAAAAAAAGTAAATTAAAAAGGACTGGAAATGTAGCTCAGCACTGGGAAAAATAGGAAAGATTCCTTTTTTGTTTTTTGTTTTTTGAGACAAGGTCTTGCTATGTATTTCAGGCTGGCCTCGAACTCACTGTGTAGCACAGGCTGGCCTTGAACTTTCTTTCAGTGATCCTCCTGCCTCAGCCTCCCCAGTGCTAGTGAATCTGATCCTGACAAAAAAAGAGAAGGTGGAAGGGAAAGAAAAAAAGAATTGAGATGTATTGTGTACAGGTACTAATTCCCCATCACTATGTACTGCAGTCATGTACTAAGAAGAATAAAAAATTAACAAAAAAATTTTCCGGAGCTTTGGGATCTTCAAATAAATCAATAAAGGGGCTGGGGACAGGAGTTCAGCGCAAAGACCTGGGGTCCAGTCCGTGTGGTGGGAGACAGACGGGGGCCCTTCCTGCCGTCCCCACCTTTGTTTGTGGGCCAGGGAGCACCTGGCTGTAGGGGACACCGGGCAGCTGTCCTGGGTGCCAGCCCGAGAGCCCCAGTGCGCATGCCCAGGTAGCGACCCCCAACACAACCAACACACTCCCCACCCCACCCCCAGTCGGGCCCCCTGCCAAGCTCCGATCTCCAGGTGGGAAGGGCTGCCCGCCTCTGCCCAAAGCCTTTCAAGTTGGTGAGCGTGTGTCTACTAGAGCCTGAACCCAGGGCCTTCACGTTGAGCGAGGCCCCCACCCTTTTTGATTATTTATTTTGGGACAGAGTCCAGCTAAGTCACCAAGTTGTCCAGGCCGGGCATTAACTGGGGTCGTCCTGTCTCAGCCTCCCAGAGTGCTGGAGTTACAGACGCTCTTCTTCCTCTCCAGCGACCTGATCGCCCACCGGAAATAGATCGGAGAAGCTGCCCTGGGGTGAGAACAGGTTGATGGCAGCCTCCTGGGCGGGGAGTCTGCAGTGACGCAGGGTGGGCTCCCCGCACGCGCAGAACTAGGGCCATCGGCTCTGCTCCGCTCCCGCTGAACCAGATCTGCGGTTTGCAAGCGCCCGGGAGCAGAGGCCTCTACATTTAAAGTGCGTGCAACTGGAACAGGGTATGGTGTTCTCATTGATTTTAATGAAGCGGTGAATTAATTTTAATTTATGAGGTGCTTGCCAGATAGTTTGGTCACGGAAATGTGTTCAAACGACCTGCCGAGTGCTTGTAGGTGAAGAGTTTTTTCCCCCTTTTTTGAAGCACAGGCTTAGAGCAGACGCCCACTGACCTGAAGTACACTTTCTTCAGGGAGGTAGATCAAACCACTGCAGGGTGGGGTTGGGGACACTGAGGCCGCTGGGAAGGCAGCTGTTTACACCGAAACCGTACAAACTGCACAGCTGAGCGGCGGCAGCTGCCGCTCCCCACAGAGCTCAGTTCAGGGCCCCAGGCTGCGAGGAATCTGGCATCTTTGGGGGAATGAGCCACAATTTCAGAGCAAGTTGCAAATAGGAGCCCTCCTAGCCACCACGCTTCCCACCACAGCCATGGCTTACTCTGTCCCACTACTTCTCATCACCTGGCTTTGGCAACCCAGGAAAGCACCTGGGAGGCTGAGGCAGGAGGATGGAAGGCTCGAGCCCAGCCAGGCACCTCAGCAATTTATTGAGACCTTCCTCTCAAAATAAAAAGGGTCAGTGAGCCGGCCTTGGTGGTGTCTCACCCCTGTAATCCCAGCACTTGGCAGGCCAGGGCAGGAGGATTGCTGTGAGTTGGAGGCCACTCTGGGGTACATAGTGAGTTCAAAGTCAGCCTAGAATATGCACTGAGACCATGTTTCCAAAAAAGCAAAACAAAAAACAAAAAAAACCACCCCGTAGTAAATGTTTTAAAAATTAAAAATTATTCGAAAGGCCGGGGATTTAGCTCGTTGGTGCCGCCACCTGCCTCACAAGCTCAAGGGCCCAAGTTCGATCCCCAGTACCAAAAAAAAAAATTTTATTTTAAATTTAAAAAACAAAAGTGCTTAGGATGTAGCTCAACAGGAAGACCCTGGGTTCACTCTCCAGTACTAATAAATAAGTAAATGATGTGCAGAATAACATCCCAACTCCTTTCTCAGCGGATTAGAGATGACCACAGCTGCAATGACCCATCCGCCTTTCTTGCGGCCAGAAACGGTGCACTCTTAGCTCAATGCCCCACCGTGATCATACTCAAAACCCAGAGGGAGGGAGAGGCGAGTCCCCGCCCACAGAAGGGCACGCTGGCGCGTTTGAAGCAGCGACGGCCATCTTCGTCTCGGGCGACCCGTTCTGTTCAGTCTTCCTCAAATCATGCAGCTGTACACGGAAGGAAAAAAAAAAGGCGACCTAGCAATCTGTCCCCTAAACCGAGCTCGCGGGACCAACGGCTCGCATCCTGCTGCCTGCATCCAAGGCCTCGGGCCCGTCTGCCGGTGGCGAGACCCAGCTCCCCGTCCAGTAGTACCGGCAGCGCGCAGTCGCAGGCGCGCACACTCTCGTCCCGGCACCGCACCTATCGCTCGGGCGGCGAAACTGAAGTCTTAGCCTCAAGCCTGGCACGCACCACGTAGATGCTGTCTTCGAGCTCTTCTGGCGCGTTACAGGGTCCTCCAGCATCCACTCAACTGCGCCCTGCCTTTCCTTTCTGCACCGCTGCAGACCCAGGTCAGGGGGCAGGGGGCAGAGGCCGCGCAGGGTCCTTCAGTCCCCAAGCGGGTCGGAAACACACCCGGGGCCTGGGCCTGGGCAGACTGTAGATCTGGGAACATTTCAACGCCCCCGTGCTTGTTATTTCTGTCACCACTGGCTCCGCCGCGCAGGGGCTCCCTGCACCAGCGAACTAGAATGAAAAAAGCCCTGCGTGTGTGTGAGGCTGTGGGGACATCAGGAAGGGAGAGCTGGGACGCTGTGTCTCAGGCAGAGCTAAGTGTGGAGGAGAAGAGTTTTTTGTGCCAAAGTGGGTGGGAGCCCCAGGGAGAGTAATCCAGCCCAGTGTGGAGGAGGCCATGGGGGCCCGGGGGTTCTCGGATATGCTGCGGCCAAGGGGATCCCCGACTTCTTGAAGGGGTGGGAAGCTGCCTGGATCCCCAAGGCAATGAGGGATGGGCATGGAGAAGGGCCCAGGGCCGGATCTCAGGGACGATCCAGGTGCTGCAGCTTCTCCAGGCCCGCTGGATGGGGAGAGGGAGCAGAGGGCGCAAACGCGGCAGGCAGAAGTGGGGGCATTGCACGGTTTATTTGAACCATCAGCAGACGGCGTAGATGGTCAGCAGGTGCCACCTGCAACCCCTCCATGCAGTGGCTTCATCGAGAACTTCTCCCCCGCCCCCAACCCCAACTGTGCAAGAAAGAGAAGGCTCTCCCACCCACCTCCAGGGGGCCGGCAGGCCAGGAGTGCGGAGGGTGGCATGGGGTGGGTTCAAGTATTCACAGTGTCCCAGCTACATGCGCAGATTATACAGTGCCCAGGCCACCAGGAAGACCCAGCCCCGTGGCTTAGGCTTAGCGCTGAGGCCACTCCCTGAGACACCTCGGGACATTAACCAAGGCACTGCAGCCCCGTCAGAGGGTCCTCAGAGAGCTCATGAGAAGGGCCCTTGGGGAGCAGGACCAGGGCCCCCACTGAGACACCGGGACATTAACCAAGGCACTGCAGCCCCGTCAGAGGGTCCTCAGAGAGCTCATGAGAAGGGCCCTTGGGGAGCAGGACCAGGGCCCCCACCTACACTATGGGTCCTACAGCGACTGGCGTGGAGCCAGTGGCTATTCGGTGAGGGGATGGGCGCGGACCAGGACAGGGCCAGGCTTGGTGGTTCTGACGGACACTGCAGAGAGCTCCGACCCTGACCCCAGCCCCGCCCCAAGCCCAGCCCAGAATCCCTGAGAGCCCAACCACAGAGGCAGTATGGGGCGGGGAGCAGGACCTAGGCCCCCATCCGAGCCAGCCTGCCCCCCAGGAGCTGTGCCGGGTTCGTGTCCCACCCCCCAGGCTCTGACCTTCCAGACCAGCTGTGTCCTGGGGACAGGGTAGACCTGCACCTTGGGTGTCCTGACCTCAGGCAGGGTGGTGGGGATCAGGGCATCTCCCAAGGGAATATAAAGACAAGCTAAAACCATTAAAAGCCTCCGGGAAGGACCAGACCCCAGGCTCTTGTCTCCTACTGCCCAGCAGGCAGGGGTGAGGGGTCTTGGAGAGCGGAGAAGGGAGCTACAGCACCCCCACAGGCTGGGGCCCAGTTAGCACCACGCAGTGTTGGGGCTCCTGTGCAGCCCGAGTGACCCCAGGCAGGAGCCCCTCATGTCGGAGTGCCCCCTTGCTAACGGTTCCGTACTCTTGGGGTGGGGGGACCCCTGTGGGGGAGAGGAGAGGGAGAAGTCTGGGCTGAAATGCAGGCAGGGGTCTCAGCTGGGGCCCCAAAGCGCCCCCTGGAGTCACGATGATTTGAAGAACCTTCGTACCACGTACTGCCCCAACAGAACCACAGCCAGGACTAGCAGCACGTTCCGGATGGGGCCGTTGCCCAAGTCCAGGGCTGCCACCTGCCGGGAGAGACTGGCAGTCACGAAGGGGCCGGCGGCCTGGGGACCGGGGCGGCCTGGGGACCGGGGCGGACATTGTAGGGTGCAGACTTGGGCACTCACCCAGCCGCCTCTCTGTGCGATCCACCCAGCAATGCAGTAGTGCAGCATGCAGTCCACCACCAGCCTGGTCACCTTGCCCAGGAAGCCAGACAGGCCGTGCTGGTAGACGTGCAGGGCCAGGCGATAGCCAAAACCCAGGAGCGCCACCACACGGCCCCAGGTGATGCCGCTCTTAAACAGCCTGCAGGAAGAGCACCCCGGAACTCAGTGGATCCAGGGGTCCACAATCCACCCCCCGGACCCCGGACCCCTCCCTGTGGAGCCATGGATCAGGGCTCCGGCCTCCCTGCGGAAGAGCTGGGGCGTCTGTTGAGAGGACAGAGTCAGAGGTGAACCGGCTGGGTGCGGCCTCTGGGTGTGGCCCCCAAGGCTGCAGACCGAAGGGCACAGAGAGGGCAGAGGAGGAGGGAGATTACCTGTGCGTGTTGCTGGCCTGACAGCCGGAGAGACAGCAGAGAGAAAAGGACAGGAGAGGAGGTTAGGTCGGGTCCCCGAGTCCCGGCAGTGTGGGGGCCTCTGCAGGTGGGCTGGAGCGGTCACCACTGCTGCCTCCTCCTCCACCTGCGCACCTGCCTCACTGGGGAGTCCCAGCTGGACCCCGGGACACCCTCACACAGATCGGACAGCCGAGCCCTTGGAGCCGGGGAGTTTTGGCCCCATATGAGACGACAGGGGTGTCCAGGGTCGTGGGGCAGCGCGGTACCTGGATGCGATCCTGATGAAGAGGTCGTAGGCGTTTTCGGCTGTGGGCTGCAGCTGCCGCAGCAGGTTCTGGAACTCAGCGTCGTAGCGCCGGTTGATGTCATCCCCGATGATGGCCAGTCGCCGACCCACCTGGCCCAGGGTGCTGGGGACATGAGGCGGCCGGTGAGCGGCCGGGTGGGAGGGGTGTGCCGAGGACAGGCCCTGCACCCCGTCCTGCTGTTGAGTGCAGGCCCCAGGGACAGGGACCCCGCTGGCACCTCTGCCCCCTGCAGCCATCCCCAGGCCAGGCTGAAGCTCACCTGCTTGGCTCTAGGGACAGGGTCTCCATCTCAGGGTCAGCAGGGGCGGCCGCGCCCTCGGCCTCCTGCTCCTGCCGGTGGCGGTAGTACACGTAGCTTTGGAAAACCTCCTCGGTGTCCCGGGCCACCTGCTGCTCTGGGGTTGAAGCCTGGGGTCAGTGAGGGGGTGCTGCACCCGGCAGCCTGGGTTTTTGGGTCAATCATGCCCCCTCGGGGCCACTGCTGTCCTCACAGTGGGCAGAGGAGCTCACGGCTGGGTGTTCTGCCAGCATCGAGTGGCCAGGGCACAGCCAGGCGGGCTCGGGGGGGGGGGAGATAAACTGTGAAACTGCAGCCACCCAGGGACAGTGATAGACCCGGGACCAGAAGCCCACGGCCGGGGAAGAGAGAGCCCGCATGGGGCTGAGCGGGCGTCCACTGGGAAGCAGGCAGACGCAGCCGCCACACTTCCTCCCTTCCCGCCTTCCTCCTCTGCACCCCACCCCTGCCCTGCCCTTGGGCTCCCACGCAGAGCCCTGCAGGCTTCTCCTTTCTCCCAGGCACCAAGGGAACGGGCCGGCTGCCTCACAAGGGATTTGCGCGCAGGGGACCCTCACCAGCTAACGATGGCCCGGGGGCCTCCTCGCAGCCCTCACCAGGGGGACCGGGGCCTTGGTTGGATGCCATCTTTTAGGTCTCAGCCAGTGACAGTGTTAGCCTGTGGGTGGGAAAAGCGAGATGGGGCTGGACAGGAGACACTGGATGGTCCCTAGAGAGGCCGCCATGGCTGCACGGGAGGCCCCACTCCCAGCAGGGGACAGCAGGGCACACACTGTGGAGTGTGGGGCCCCATCCGACAGGCTGCCTGTGTCCCAGAAGGGCAAGGCTCAGCCCTGCCTTGGCTTTCGTGGCACATTTCACACATGGCTCCCGGGGCCTCCAGGGCCCTCTTAGCACCTGTGGCCATGAGCTGGCCACCTCCAGCCTAGAAGGCCACTTCCCCTTGGCTGGCTGGAGGGCACCTGCCCTCCAGTGCAGCCGCTAGAGGGACTGTGACACTCCGACCATCAGGAGCTCTCTAGGATTTTGGAGACAGGGTCTCATTCTGTATCCTAAATTGGCCTGAGACTCATGATCCTCCTGCCTCAGCCTCCCAAGTGCCGGGGTTACAGTGTTGTGATGACAGGCGTGTGCCACCTCCCTCAACATGATCTTTTGTGACAGGGTCTCTACCTAGCCCAGCCATGCCTTGAACTCATAAACCGGTGATCCTCCTGCCTCAGCCTCCAGAATGCTGGGGTTATAGGTGTGCACCAGCACCCCTGGCCTTCCTCAGTGCTGAACTCCAGCAGAGACGCGCCACGCCTTTCACAAGTGGAAAGTGAGGCCTAAAGGAAGAGTGCCGGCCCAGGCCACAGCCAGCCAGGGAGGGTCAGGTCCCACAGGGGACATTCAGTTTCCAGCTCGAGGACCTCGGCCCTGTCCCCCACTCCAGGGTCCCCTCTGCCTCTCTCACACCTGCTCTCCTGCCAGCCCCGGCCGCCCGCCGAGCTGCTGGGGGAGCATTTCCTGATGTCTGCCTTTCGCTTTCAGTTTGCACCCCTTCCGTCCAGCACCAGTAGGAACCCGGCCCCAGAGCCTGCTGCCCGCACCCCAGCAGCGCTCTTGGCCTCCCCGGTCCCCAGACCCAGTGGCCCCAGGATGGCGGGCTGCCAGGTGCTGCTGGCACCCCAGCTCCCCG